CTCGTGGAGGCTGAGCGCCGGTGGTGTCCCGATGCCCCCGGTGCCAACAGGTGCAGAACGGCGTGCCGAGATAGCACGCGTCCGCTCGTCGCTGTCGGAGGAGAAGCAGAATGAGCCGAGGTACGCCGCCGACGGCCACATGTTGTGAACGATGTACTTCGACTGCCGCCACGCCGACCAGGTCGCCTCCACAAATGGCGTCCTGCCCTGCGGCCGCGTCAACTCCGACGGGCGGTGCGAATGGTGGGGCGTCGCCCCTCTCCTCGTTCCTACCGCCTATCGGAGTTGAGGTTGCTCCCCGTGAAGAAGGAGCACGAGGACATGGCCGCTGACGACCTGACCGCCCTCAAGTGGGCGAAGGCGGACTACGTCCGCGAGCAGGTGGAGCGCCAGTGCCGGGACTATGAGGAGATCAAAGCTCGGCGCCTTGGACGCACGAAGGGCGGCGTCGTCGTCCTCGACAACGACGATGAGGACGCGCCCGGGTCGTCCAACCCCCAGCGCGTCGGCGACCCTTGTTAGGGGTGCAGTAGGGATGGCGGCGGCGGCGGCGGGACGCAGGGCGGTGGCGACGATGACGACGACGACGCGACTACACCCGGTTCTACAGGCTCCTTGACATGTAGAAGGCGGGCAGCGGCGTAGTAGTGCTCGGCGTAGTTGTCGTTTTAATGTAGTTTTAAATCATGTCTTACATTTTTTGTACAAATTTGAATGAAATCGCCGAGTTTGGACAAATTTTGTGTCGTTTTTGGCCAATTTTGGGGCGACCTGGGGGGCGGCGGCTGGGAATACGTTCGCCCCCACGCCGAAGTTAACGCCGATTCGACCCAGACGGTGCTTTTTCGGCGTCCTGAGGGGCCGAACGGCTGGAGATGCTCTAAGGGAAAGCCACGCGGGCACGCTCGCGGCCGGCTGAAGGGGCGGTCGGTGGCCATGGATGGCTCCCGGAAGCTTCAGAGCGGGGACAAGAGACGACAGGTTTGTGCGCAAACCCAGAAAAACGCGTCTCATGTGGGGGCGCTGTTTTGGTGGGGCGGGGTGCCTGCGTGGCTCGCGGCCGGCTGAAAATTCAGTCGGCGCACTGGTCACAATCGTTTCCCTTATTTTTTCGAGGGAATAGCGACTTGGACTTGAACTCGCCTTGTGATGACTTGTGGGCCTTTTTTTTTCTCCTCTCCACCTCTCAGTGGGCCTGGGCTCCCTGTCGATATGTAGAAACAAAAGCCCACACATGATCAGCTTCAGGGCATGTACAATGATGCTATCCTAGGAGTGCCACGTAAGATAAATAATGAGGTGGAGGAGAGAGAATTTATAAGAAAAGGCTTGTCTTCTCTTATCTTCTCTTATTGAAGAAAAGACGAAAGATGATCTCTTAGCACAATATGTCTCACCACGTTTTGAGGAATAGTTAGTTATTGAAGATAAGGCTAAGATATGAGCCATTGTAAACATTTTCTTTTGTCGTCTCTAATTTACATGCAGGACTTAAGATAAGACTATCTTATCAACCATTGTACATGCCCTTGGAATACCAGCGAACTCGGTGCCAGTGCCAGTGCGTGCGAGGAGCTGGGGCTGGTGGTCTCTTTTAGTCCCACATCGCCCCCCGAAGGAGGAAGCGGGGCTCGGCGATAAGACGGAGGGGGTGGCGTGGCTCATACCTTTCTCGGTCTTTTGGCTAAGATCAAGTGTAGTATCTGTTCTTATCAGTTTAATATCTGATATTATGGCCATGTGCCCACAATGATATTAAATTCATTTTTTATGGGGAAGGGTCCACCACTATGGCTTGCTACTGGGCCCTTACGTGTCGCCCAGATGTTGCACTGCTGCCTGGGCCTGGCGCACCCCAACCAGATCAAATGAAAATCTCGCTGACCATTCTTCTCTCGTGATTCAGAGCTGAAATGAAGGTTGTTCTGTTCTGCTACGTTGGGCAGATCCGAGTAGCCCCTGAACTGGAAGCACATCAGACCATTCATGCTCCTCCAGGCTTCCTAATTTGTGTGAATCACCAGCTTTTAAGCCCAACGTACTTGAGTTCCATTTCAGAAAAAAAGAAAACCCGTACCTTGAGTGAGTGACCCCTGCATCCTTGTGCAGCAACCTCCATTCTCTCTCAGGAAACAGAGAACTTTCCGCCACAACCTGGCACCACACCCGAACTGCAAGGGAAGAGGAGATCCAATGTTTTTTCAGGGAAAATTTTGTTGACACGTTCTTCAGACCAAACAGTTTTGTTTTCTGAAAGTGCAATCCGACGTGCTATGTATGTGGCTGACTCGAGCTTCACACACTTTTCTGAATCTAAGTTCCTCAAATCATAAACCCGAACCCAATCGCAGATGTTACCGTCTCAAGGGACAGTCCTCAGAGCATAAAATAAATTCATGGACCAGACAGGGAGGTATATCACTACCCTAGCCGCATGTTGATCACAACATACAGGAGATATGTAATCACAAGGGTTGATTGTAAATACCACCCATTTAAGATTGGCCATCGGTTGAATCTTGAAGCCAGAAATGAATGTGCTGTGTGGTACGTGATGTGTTTTTTGGTTTCATCATCATGAAACAAATAGCCGGCAGAGAGCTGAAGATGCTGTCATGTTTCCTCTTCTTTCTGGAAAATTACTGAAGCTCTGAATGTTCAGAACAAGGACCTAAAAATCTACTAAAACACAGCAAATTTTGAAAGATCACACTTCGAATTACCTTCAAACTGGGAGCAAGACAGGACGCAGATACATCACACCAATTGCATCCATTTTCCTCCAGATGCATTGCACACAATACCATCACGGCAATTCCAAAGCCCCCATATAGGATAGCAGTGGAAGAAACCGTGCTAATAGCCGGCGCACCCGACCAAGTCAAAGAAAAAAAAAACTACTAATGTTGAACCATCCAGCCCTAGAGCTGGCTTATTCAGAAATGAAATACTGTACTTCGCTGTTCTGTTCAGTACTGCAACTTTTTTGCTAACCCTTGGTGCCTAAGAGCAGATTATTTTAGTCATGACTCAAACAAAATAACTGAAATACTCATGCAGCTAGCTAGTGCTGCAAATCAAGGAATGACTGGTTGTTGCAGGTTTACTACTACAAAGCATTCGTTTATTGCTTGAAAATACGGCTGAACAACGGGGGCAGATGAAATGAAACAGGAGTCACGCAAGGATCACCAGCAAAATAAGCCCGAACAGGGAGCCAGGCATTGCATTGGTAGGAAACAAGATCTATACAGATGCAACATGGAAGGGACAATCTTCAGGTAACACTCAAGCTCACCAATGCACAAGGATTGGAATCTGCATGCAATTCAAGACAGATGACCAAAAGAAGATGCAGATCTCAGCGTTAGGACCAGAATGCTAGGGGAAGTTCAAGCACAAAAGCTTGCGGGTACCATAGAAAAGCAAATGCACTTACAAGATGCCAAATTTCTTACAGATAATATTCCCTCCGTCCCAAAATAAGTGACTTAAGTTTACACTAGCTTTAGTACACAGTTAGTACAAACTTTAGTCACTTATTTTGGGACAGAGAGAGTACCATTATGGCGAAGGCAGCAGGCAGGCAGGTCTCCAACTGAAAGTCCTGGACACTGGGAAATAAGAGCACACCTGGCAGATTTCTGTGACTGAACTCAATCAATCGAAGCCCCAGTCTTGCACATTACAGAGGCACACTCCAGTGCCAAGGAGGTGATCAAACTAAGAACCTTGATATTTTAGTTGCAAGAATTCTGCTCACATTAGGACGCAATGAATTCTTTCGTCGCATTTCACAGATAAATATTCAGGACTATGTAATCACTCGTGCATACTGCATCTGAATGAGTATATGACGCTCTGAGCACCACCAGTTTGATAAAAAAAAGTACTGAAACTTAGGTCTAAAATGAGGCACTTACATGCCCCCCGAAATGTACACTTGACATGCCCATCTATGCAAAAAAAAAAAACAGCTTCCTGAAACTGTACTTCAATGTGCTAGAGAGGGACACAAACAAATATCATGGTGAAATTTAGCCATATTCCACTGATTCCAGCAACCGGTTAGAAACTCAAAGACCAGAGGAGGAGGTATCTATTACTAACTACCCTAACTGCATGTCCAGCACAAACTCAAGACCAGATCAAATCAGGTACCAAATACCACCTGACGGCACCCAGCGAAGAATTTTAAAGCCCAGAAGCCAAGTCCCAAGTTGAACCAACATATGCCATGCCAGCCGGTTCTTGTCCCGCGCAAGCATTTTCGCAAGCAGCTGATGCTCACCTCACTGGCCAAGCAGCTAACCACCATGTGGCCCATCCCACAGCTAGCACCCCTCACTGGCCAAGCGGCTAACCATCTGATCCTGGACCATTCTTCTGCATCACAAGTTCGATGTGAGAATTGCCGAAGCTCTGAATGTTCAGAACAAGGACCTGAACCATACCAAAATTTAAAAGATCACACTTTGAATTTACCTTCGAAAAAAGGGTCTTCCTGAATCAGACTCCGATATTCAGAATCATAAGTTCCTGGACACATTTTTCTCGAGTATGGACACATGAAGATTATTTATGTACAGGACAGGAGCACAATTACAAAAGTGAAGCCTGAGCCAAGATCAATAGCCAATAATTCAACTTGCTGCTGCTGAATAGGAGCTTGTTCCTCCCTGACTCTGAACACATTAACCAAATTCCTAACCCACAATGAAAGAAGATCAAAAGCTGCAAAATCATACACATATATAATTTAGAAGACCAAGGACCCTGACTAAGTGCACACAAGACAGAGTGGGCACACATATGCCTATCATAGTACTGATTTCTCAAGTCTCGATATGCTCTTCTCAAGGTCTTTCTTGATAGAAGAATATACATGGTGAACAAGTCCAAGATATATATAGACAAAATAACCAGAATACGAGTGCAAGGTAGACATCAAGGACAGCACATAAACCCATCACTTATCTCTTTGATACCAACTAAAGTGACTAAAAGGACTTGGCCCCAAAACAGCTGGCTGAGCTGAAGCACCGGAGGCCGGCGTGCATCATGCTGGCCTGCTCAGGAAATGCAGCTGGAGCCAGAGGCGGTGAGGGAGTGGTAGCCTCAAGGGAAGGTGTCAGGGAGGAGCGTGGAGCTAGGATCTGAGAAGACAAGGAGGCATTGGTATGCTGCACTGCCTCTCCCTGGGGCCGGTGTCCGGCTTCCTCAAACTGGCTGTGGTCATCTGCCTCAACATTGGCCTCTACCTCCGGCTGACATGCTGAAGGTGGTGGCTCAGAAGGTGCAACTACTGCAGGTGCCAGTGGACGACCAACTTTTTTCGTCTGCTTTGACTTGTCGGGCCTGGGCTTGTAGGGCTGGTGCCTGGTTTCTCTAGGTCCATCATATTCAAAAGCTCGCATGATCATCCCCATGATGTATGGTGCATACAAGAGGTTAGTGCGACTGTGATCTTTCTTCTTTTTTTTTAGAAAAGGACTGTGATCTGAAATAAGTAACTTAATCTCGTCGAAGATCAAAGCAATGATGTCAAATGGGTGCTGCTCCACAATATGATGTAGGAGGTTCCAGTTGTATCCGTGGACTTTACTTCCAGAAGACTTGGGATAGATGGTTTTCCAAATAATCTTATTGGCTATGCTAGCCAATGGAGAGAGGCCCCTGGTTTGGTCTACTGTGCATTCTGCAGCTGTGTACATGATCCTCTTGTCATCATCATCAAAGAAAAACTCTGAGTGAATTCTTGAAGTGTGAATGCTGCCAGCAATGCCAAATGTCTCCTCCCATGCTCTTTTGTTGGTAGTGACCCTCCTGCCATCTGCCATCCAAGTAATAGAGCTATTGTCGTCGCTGATATAAACTGTAGAGTAAAACTGCCTAATCAGTTCGATGTCCCAATCACAATGGTAACTCATCATCTGCTCAAGCCCCACATGGGCACATCTCTGTCTGACACAAGAAAACTCATCCATGCTATCAATATAGTCCCAGTCTATCCACTGCATAGGAAACAACCCGGCCCTACTGTATATGAAGTTGTACAAGTCCTGCTGCTCAATGGACCAGAATCTCCTGTCTGTTGCTGTCCTATGCCCCTTGTAGTGGTTCCTGCTTCTGAGCCTCTTCAGCTCAAAAGGGGCTCGAGTGTAGTCCACCGGATCATTGGGACGCACTAGAGAAACTGGAGGCAACTCATTCTCCTTCAGAACTTCAATCACTGACTCCACAGCTGGAGGCGGCACTTGCTCTTCTGAATCAAACTCCGAGTTCTCGGACCAGAAATCCTTTTCTAATGAATATGGCTTTGCCATCTCTAGACCTGATGGGTCGGACTCCTGCATGCACTCATCTGAAGAAGGCTCACCAGGCTCGTCTTGGTGTTCCACCAGAGGAGTTGACTCAACAGCTATAGTGTCTAGCTCGACTGCCTCCTCAACTACATTTGGATTCGGCTTTGTTTGGCTTGTAATGTGTGGAAGAGAATGTGAGACAGGAAGAGAATCTTCTGCAACTTCCTTGAATACATCACCTAATGAGCTTGCATAGCTTCCTTGCATTTGCTCTTCAAAGAATGCCATCATTACCTCTGATTCAAAAGGCTCCTTTCGACCTATTCTACTCTCCTGAGAACGCAGTACCCCATTGTTTATATTACTCGGGTGCCTGCAAGAGATCAAGGTGAGTGTTATGTTGTTGCCCTTATAGCTGTAAACATAGATGCCTAGTAACAGAATTCAGAACCAGCAAACCTGGTTGGGTCAGGTGAATCAACCATTCTGTCTTCCAAGGAGCTCTTTGCTTCCCCAGAGGATGGCACAACTAGCAATTGTTGCCTGGCATTCTGCAGCTCCACTTCTAGTTTTTCCTGTTGCCTTCTGTGTTGTTCTGCTTCTTCCTCGAGTAATTTCACCTTAGGAGAAATGAAAAAAATCAGTGCTCAGAAAGAAAAGTAAGTGACCAATCAAAACTATTAACATACCAGCAGTGGCAAACTTACCTTTTCTTCCAATGAACACACAGTAATCTGGCCATCCTCATTGGACATCTCCAATAGCTTGATTACTTTATTTTTCTCTTCGACATATGCCTTCCTTTCCTCTGATATCTACAAAATTATTATAAATGGAAGGGTTATAACAATCATATAAATTTCGTCCATGCCTAATCGCGCTGTTTGTAGGGCCTTCTTGGACAAATACTAAAATCTGAATGTATTTATGGATATGCTGTAAAGATATTCTCATGCGTAATTTAAAGAACTCCCATAATGCAACATATAATATTGATATAAGTATGGCATTTGGCATTTTTAATCTACCATAAACCCAAAAAAGGATAAAAAGCAAAAGCACTCATAAAGAAAAACATATACATAATTTTGTGTGTGAGCCTTTATAAACAACATAGAAAATTGCGTGAGATCAACAAACTAACAACCTCAAAGCTATCCAAACTAATAATATGCCTTAGATAAGAAGAAACGAACATGTTGCAAAGCATCACTATCTGATAATGAGAATGACTGGAAGTCAGAACAACCAAAAATGCTTGCATCCTAACTAATAGGTGGTTCGCAAAGAATGTCACTGCCATAATTCATTGTTCAAAGAAGAAAAAAACTATATGAAAAGACAAAAACTCCAATGAGGTAAGCCTAATTGCCTTTCAAAGAGTTACCTCTTTTTCTTTATTCCATGAAATAAGTAATGCTCCAGCCTGATAATCCATTTCTTGCATCTTTATCTCCAGTTCTTTAATTCTACCTTCATAGAATCTATTTGACTGGTCTAGTTTGGACTCGAGCTGACGAGTCTCTTCTTCCATCCCTCTCAGTAATGAAACAAAGCATTGTTCAAGAACCTCCTTCTGCACAAGAATTTCGGTGGATTGATCCAACAAAACAAGGCGTTTGGCAGCCAACAACTCTTTTTTGTTACAGGCATCTAGCTGCTGTTGCAGTGACAACAGCTGTTTTTGTAAGGATATAATCACCTCAGACGTTTCACACATAGCCTGCCTATGGATTTCATCCATTTCTTGCTCAAACTCAGTGTTTAAAATCAGAGTTTCCACATCCCTCTTCTTATGAAATACTGGGCTTTGGAAATTGTTTTTCTTCAGCTCCTCTAGTTCCTTTATCAAACTAACCTGCTCCAAATTCTTCTTCTTCAGCTCCTCTACTTCCTTTATCAAACAAATCTGCTCCGATTCAACAACATCCAAAACAGATAATGTGTCTTTCAGTTCCTTTTCTGTGGCTTCCTTCTGCCTGCAAGCTTCAAGGGTACGTAAATTTGCTGCTTTCAGCTCATCTCCTAAAGCAGTTGCCCTGACCTCAGCTTCTGCTCGGGCTTTCATCTCGTCCGCAAGAATTGTTTCGGTTATGGCCAACTCCAGCTGCAGGCTCAATGTATCTTCTGAGTTGTCTTCTTCCTTTGCAGGTGCATGAGAGTCATCTTGCTGCAATGTTGACGAAACATTCTGTCCACAAAGTCAAATAGCACAGCGTTAAGATTTTTGTTATTTCCATCACCACCACCACAACGGACGAGCACATATAAATTCAGAAGCTATTGCGCATATTAGAAGTTATCAGGTTGCTGTGCTTTGGGACTTGGCAGTGCAATGTGGCATCTCTAGGTGCAGAATCAAACTTAGAAGGCAGTGGAGGCACAATACGACACAGGGATAGTGATGGAAAAGGAGGATAACAACTTGATGAATATGAAGGACGAGGGAGGTACCAAATCCAAGTACTAGGTGTACTATCCTTTGTATAAATCTCTAGGATGTTATGTAATCTTTCAAAGAATGTTAAAGGGGTCATATATGAATTGAAAACAGTGACCAGCCTCAGTTTATAATATATAACCTTACAAAAAAAGGAACAGGGGTGATAGCAGTAGATGTGTTTCACCTGCACATTGCGATTCTCCTCCCGGAGCAAGATGGGGTTTCGGACCTTGGAACGTTGGACCTGCGCAGAACTGGCCCCCATCGTCAAGAACCCCTGCCTCGGCACCGGCTTCGGCTTCCCCAGGATCTTGGTCGGGCCAAGGGGAGTGCTCACCGCGCCGATCCGCGCCGACGTCTTGCCCGCTGTCCTAGCCTCCTTACCCTTCTTGGGCGTCGGCGCCGGCCGCCGGGGCTGCCCCGGCGGCTGGATAGCGCGGAGGGGGTGCCGGGAGGTCGCGATGGGCTCCGCCGGGGCGGGAGTCGAAGCTCCGCCAGGCCGCGCGTTCTCGTCGCTCCCGAGCGCGGATGCGGGATCCCTCGCCGGGGTGCGGCACAGAGCGCCGCCGAGCTCCCTCGCCATCCTGTGCGCGCGCAGCACGAAAATCGTCAGAAGTCAGAACCGAAGAGGAAATAGAAGGCAATAATGCAACCGATTCAGCGGTGGGTTGGTTGCTAAGGAGCTCGAGCGAGCGACCAGCAATCGCGGCCGTGCTACGGCGCCGGCGACGGGCGGAGGAGGCTAGGGTTTTCCCCGGGAATCGACGAGGACGCACCTGAGCGAGGAGGCGGATATGGAGGCCAACGCGACGGCGGGATCGGGCCGGAGGGAGGCGAGTGCCGGAGCGAGCTAGCGGCGGCGGCGGCGGACCGCGAGCTGCTGGGTGGTGGTGGTGGTGGTGGTGGGCGGAGGGCTGGAGTTTGAAACTTTTGGGGGGAGAAGAGAAAAGAATCCTTGCGGTGCTGCCGTGCTTGATGACGCCGGGGCCCCACGCGAGGCCGTTGGTTTGGCTTTGGGAAGCTCGGCGGCGGCGCTCTGCTAGTCCCATTGGTTGCCGCCTTAATTGACCATCCCGCTAGCTGCCGCCTTAATTAATGGGACATTTACATCTGTGCTCCTAACTCGAACCCACTATTCAGATTTGTTCTTAATTTTAAAGCATGCTCAAATTTACCCTTTCGCCGTTAAGTCACTACTCAAAAATGCCTTTCCATACAGTATTGTAGCACATTCTGTTCAATACTGACAATGTGGAACTTTTATGCTTATGCAGGCCACGGAACTACATCTTGCCGACGCTGCACTTTTGGTTAGGAGATGCACAAGCCTGAAGCCACTTGTTGAATCTCCACGTTACTGTGCTGTCCAGATAGCTGGAGTATCTATGCTTCGAATTAGCATCGAATTTCCACGCTCTTGCATTGTAGGACTTCGGAATCTAAATCATGCCCTCGAGCGTCCCAGTTGATATCAACGAGGCTTGCCGATTTTGCTGCGACAATTTTTCCTGATACCATCCATTCTCAAACTTATCATTAACCACATGAACATCAGCACATGTACTCATTAACAACACGGAACTAATCTCACTCTTCTAATTCATCGGATTTCTGCTTTTGTGTATCATTCAATGGGCGACACCTATTTGCTCGGATTTAGACACTAGTGTAAAAATTAGACTATTTCATGCGCCATATAAGGGACTAATAAGCACCTTGGCCATGTTAAAGTGGAGATACATATACACTCCCTCTGTTCCTTTATATAGGACTCCCATGTTTTCGAGGGTAGAGTATCACAAGTATAGGGGACCCCATGACGGTTCACTAACGGACCACTTCGGGCAACCCATGACATGTACGAGGAAGATTCCACAAGGCTTGGTGATCAAGACAACGACTCTTCTCCACCGACGTATTCGACTAGGATTCTTGTTATCTCAGGCCTCCGGTACATCATATAAGCCGAGGCCAGACTAGTCGATAGACAATTATTCATACATCCATAGACATCAACGCAATCTCGTTCACCTAGCGCTAGAATTAGAACACATCTGAAGATGTCGATGTAGATCAACTCTGTACTTGTAACATCCTCATCAACATAAACACAAGCATGACGTAGGGTTTTACCTCCATTAAGAGGGCCCGAACCTGGGTAGCATCGTCTCCCTGTTCCTGTTACCATCTGTCCGAGATCCACAACTCGGGACCCCATATCCTAAGGTTTGCCGGTTTTTACACCGACATGTTGTAAAAAGGAATAGGGAGTGTCTAGAAGTAAGAGTGTGGATGAGGAATTAATGTCCCATATTTGTGGGTAGATGCCAGACATAATATAATAGTTGTACGTATGAAGTATCATATGGATAAATGATATATTGGTTGGTACCCACCTGGCAATTTCATTAGTTCAGTATAAAACATCATTACTTGTCCATACATGTGGATTCTCTTGTGCGCATACGTACCACCCACGTTAACAAGGTGGAGCCATCTGACTGGGACAATGGGTTGCTCACTCACATGGACACACACACACTATGCAACACAAGTGGAGACTCATGTTACATGCTCTGTTCCATTCACCACAGGGATCTCTAATCATTTGATTGGACACACGTACAAGATCATTTGCTTGGACACACGTACACTCGTGTAGCGAACATACTCATAGCTCCTCATATGCATGTAGCTGTATAAAACAATTTAAGTAGGTTGGCCTCCTATCCTCGTATTTCAGTTTTCGTGACCATGCTATGTATGTGGATGCCATTCCATACAACTTCGTCTTCTTTGCCAAAGGGTAGCAGCAAACACAATATCTTCAGCTTGGTAGTGCTCTTTGAGCACCGAGTCTCAAGCACGGGGGTGAAAACCCTAGGTATGGCCTTTGGTGGTTGCTTCTGGCAATGGCGGTGTTTTACGTGTCATAAGTCTTTTTTTAAGACATTGCTTGGAGTATGTTCAGATGTGCACTTCACAGTGAAAACCCAAGATTTGCAAGTCGTTGGCCATGTCGGATTTCTTAGTTTCTTCTCCTTATCCTTTTTGGCTATGTGCAGCCTTGATATCTCGATTCAGCCTTGATATTGTGTCGTTGTAGAGCCCGGGTATAATTGGTACCATCTTAATATTAATCTATTACCCATTGTCAAAAAAGGATGAGGCTCTCACTAGGATATGGGCTTCAGGCAACCAGTCAACTAGCTCCTTTCTTTTTTAGGTTATTTGCATTTGCATAGGGATTATCACGATTGGCAAATCTTGTCATTTTAATGTAGATGTGTTTTCCATACATCCATCAAACTAAAGAACGTCTAAGTGACTGCGTGGCAGATCATACAGATGATTCTACCAAAGAGCTAGGCTCATATGCGTGTTATGTCAATCAACACATTGCAAGCGATCGTCTAATTTATGTTGTATTAAACAACTGCACTGAGGTGTATAAAACTTATACTGTATTTGGTAACAGCTAGTTGAGCCGAAGCTGTAGCATATTGGATAGCCTCAAAACTTGTACCGAGGTGTTGGTCTTGGAAGATATGGCCATTCCTAATCCCAGAGGAAGCAATGACCCCCTCAAGTCCTTTTTTTTCTCAAGCACGTGCAATACAAGATTGACACGAGCAGAACATGCACACACATAAGAAAACTTAATGTGGCACTTTTTTCTTCTGTCTATATACTTATTTTTCTTGGAACAAGAAAATTTAATTATCATCGTCTGGTCTCTGCATCTTGAAGTGCATCAAGAAGCAATAAAATATCAGTTATCGTGAGAGAAAAATTCTACAATATCAATGAATCTATCCAATAGCAATGGTCAGTCCAACAATTAACGGACAGTTCGAAGCTCTTTGGAAAACCATCTTCATATTCAACGCGAAGCCTCTGGAAACGGGATGCACATGCAGATGTTGCCAGATCCACTAATGCCCTCTGAAAAATATCATCAATCTGTCATGTTTTGGTTTCAAATGGCTAATTCCGAAGCAATAATGTGTAGTGCAATATGTAGATGCAGTTGTTGTAATACTGTTATATCTTATATTATATGTATTACTAAGGCTGGCGATCGATATGGTGGTGTCCTAGCTACTCCTAGTTCTTGTGAGATCATTGAATACAACTTTAGATGCTGATTCTCAAGCAAATTGCGTACGTCAACTAGAGTTAATTACACTTTTGGCACATGGACGTGTAATCGATGTTATTGGAACCCCAAAGTTTAATGTTATGATTAGATCTTAATTATTCTTTTATATTTGTGGATACTTGCATGGAGGGTATAGTCATAAGTATTTTATTTGTTCAAATAAGAACAACACATTATATAGGCTGCACCACAAAGAAATATCAAAGCAATGAATGTAACTCAATGAAACTAGATGAAAGTAACTTGGTGAAATTTCCGTGTGTCCTCGAGAGCAATTTGATTCCTACAACTAAAAATCCGACTTGTTCTTAGCACAATTAAGGATTGGGACACTTGCTGCACAATATCACTTTTGTTACAATTTAAGTTCTTGCAATTATTCCAGTGATCAAATAAACCATCAAACAATCTTAACAAATTTTACAGTGAATACTTGCTGAAATCCATTGACCAATTCCTTATGCTCCTCCACGAGACACTTAATTATTGAAAATGGTATAATAGATAGCCTACACTTGTGGGTTATCATGGGGCATCGGTCCCGAGCTCATGCCAAATGAGTACAAGAAGGCTAAAGAGGAATATGATCCTTACATTACTTAGGAGGGGGAAATTACAAGTGTGACTACTTTGCTTGAGTATGTCACATTGACGTTTTTTGTGACCGTGAGATATTTATTTCTCTGATAATGGGTTACATTTAGCTAACAAAGTATGTGCAATATAATCTGAAGGACGGGGTAACCAACATGCAGTGTGATCCTCGGTTCTACCACAATTAGCTAAAACATGAGTAACCATGTTTTGATTTCTATCTAGGTTCTCGAGCACTATCTCATGAAGACGTATATATCATCTGATCTTCTTTAGTAATTGGCACATAGGTGATCGATCCACCATAGTGTTGCCAAGCACCGTGAGCAAAGTCACACAGTCACTTTGGAGGACTATGGGTTTATCGGTCCATTGGAGTGCCAAACGTACCCCTTCCATGGTAGCACATACGTACCTCGGCTTCATAAGCATCTGAACAATTGAACAAACAACGATACACAACAAAGACCATGCAACAAACATCATCACGTAGCACTATCCTGACTCTAGCCAAGCCACCCGCTTTCAGAAAGGAACCGTCTACGGATAGCGCCGTCCATCCTAGAGGATCACATCCGGCGGTGCGGGCTTGGACCTTTTCACCTGGGTTGAAGTTCACTTTGAGTTGCTATTGGCCACTTGATCCACTCTAGGAAAGTCGGAACTGTCACTGATAGAACCCCATCTAGGATATTCCATTTGCACAAATGCTAGCCGGTTTTGTAAAGTTTCTCTCGGGGGTTTGTAAAGCTTCAACTGGTTACTTTTTTCTTTATTTTTTGCTGGGGTTTTCTTTGTTTTTTCTTTTTACTTTTTTGTAGTATTTTAAATTTTATGAACAATTTTCTTATTATGAACTTTTCAAAAAAGTTTGAATTTTTTTTGATTTTGCAAACATTTTTTGGGTTCGCGTACATTTTTTAATACACCTTTTAAACTTTGTGAATTTTATTTGAATTCACGAACGTTTTTGCATTAGTGGTTTTTTTTTGAATTCATGAACTTTCTCCGGATCCGCGAACATTTTTTTAATTCATGAACTTCTTTTAAATTCTTGATTTTTTTTCCAAATTCGTGTTCTTTTAAATCAAGGTATTTTTTTGAATTCAAGATTTCTAAATACTGTTTGAATATACTGAAATTTAATCTATAAAAACTAAAATTGTTTTTTTCCTAGTATGACCGAGCGAACAAGCTACCTGGGCCATCTACTCTCGGGCGCTTAAAAAAAAAGTAAAAGAGCGGTGACGGCGACGCTAACCCTATTGGTCGCCGGAGCGAAGCCGAGTGCCAGCGCCCCGCGCCGCCACACCCCATCCCTCCCCAGGCCGGCCGGCACCCAACCTGAAGCCCTCCTTACAGCACCGGCGTACGATCCCGTCCCGCCTCCTCGGGTGCTCTTCGGTCGTCAGGCAGCACGGGCTCAGGGCGACAGAGGCACCCACATCCGGCAAGCACGGCGGCGTTCGAAGCACGCTCCACGGCAAGTCGGCGACGGCAGCAGCATCGTGAGTGTTCCAAATTCCGATCCTTCACAATTTGTGATTTTCCCGGTTGAGAGGAGAACAGAGGATAATTCTTGAAGTTCATCGATTGATAATTCATTGTTGGCTGTTTGCATTCGTCCACTGGTTCATTTTGTTGTGTTGAGACTTGGGTAGAGCACAGTGGTAGTGGCCAAAAGAAGAGGATCAAGAGAAGCAGCGTTGAATTTTATGCATTTCAGCTTCTGCATCCAACCTTTTTGTATCAACCATCCACTATATATCCTGTCTTGTATTACTGTGAACTTCCATTTCTTATATTGTTCCCACCATGGCCTGATTGAATGATTGTTGCCTGCTTGCTGAAGATGAGCAAAACAGACAGTGGCTTCCTATTTTCCATCACAGCCCAGCCAATCATCAACTTAGTATGTTTGTATCAATGCTTGCTAAATATGGGCGAAACACTCTGTTACTTGCTTGTTTAGTACTGCAGTCAAGGTGTTTGATTAAATGCATCTGAGATGAACAACAGGACCCAGGTGCTTTTGGTGTTGGTAGATTGTTCTGTTTTCTTTTTTACCCTTATAGCATCAGAAATGATTTGTTCTTGTCACTCTCACAATACATGCTGAAGTTAAATATAGATTTCAGTACTTCGCTCTGCTATTTTACTTGTCTTGTGCTTTACCATGGAGCAGGTTAATCCATCGTAGAACCGCATAAAGAGGCTGTTTCAGTTGCGGTAGCAGCCGGAATGAAGTTTAGAGTTGTTTGCAGGAAGGTGTACGATTACGTGAGGTACGATCTGAAAGAGATCGCCTTCCCGTCTTCTCTGCCGGACCCTCCGGGCACCAAGAGGCGCCCTAAACTCACACTGAAAGAAAAATGGTGTATCCTCAAGGAGGCATCTAGGCTGTATGGGGCTTCCTGGGTCAGGGACATCGGTCCAGAGCTCAGGCCGAATGATTACAAGAAGGCCAAAAAGGAATCTGATCCCAACATTACTGACGAGGGTAACACCACAACTGAACCTACTGTGCTTGAGGACCTCGCGGTGGCAGCGAGGGGTGGGGCCGAGACTCTGAAGCCTGCGCTGCGGCGCATATACATGACCCGCGCCTCAACCTACACAAGTGCAGTGAAGAACTATGTGGAGACCTATCAGGAAGGGCTGAAGGATGTGTTGGACGAGAAGGCTGGAAACGGTCACCAGCAAGGCAATGAGCCGAGGAGATCATCGACGTCGCCTCCGCCCCCGCAATCATCATCATGAGCTTGTTTCAGTATGTGGGGAAAATGTCATCATTAGGACTCGCAGTTCAACATTCATGAGCTTGTTTCAGTTTGTGGACAGCTGTGTAGTCGGGTAGAACAGATAGTGATGCTTATCACATTTCCTAAAATTTTCTTTCATGTGTAGGTCTCTGATCTTGTTTGTCTACTGATCAGGGTTATGTGAAGTGTATTGTACATTGTTGCTATGGACATTGTTATTCGGTTTGTTTCAGTTGATGGACAGACAAACAAAAAGTGATGCTTAGACAAAAAGAAAGAAAACATAGTATGATAGTATGCTAGTTAGATCTCTCTTGCCGGTTGATTTTTCAATCATGTAAGTTAGAATGGGCATCCATGTGCAAACTCTAAATTGAGGCCTACTCCCTTCGTCCGGTGAAGAGTATATATTTGGCTTTAAATTTGTCCACAAAAGAGTCTACTTCTATCTTCCCAATGCACTTTAATATAAAAAAAAAGAATGTTTCTCTCTTATCACACGGTAATCAAGACCAATAACATTATACACATGGTCTCTTTAATTTCTACATGCACTTAGCTCATTGGGGGTTGGGTAATTAAGGAGGTGAGAGATGGTGGCTTGTACCTTTCCGATGCATTTTTTTACTCCATTCCATCATTTATCCTAAAATTTCTATATGTACATTTTTCACAGGACGGAGGGAGTACTAACATCCTCATAGGGCCAAGTTAGAAGTAGTCATGCCGATTAGGGGTCATGTTTGGTTGCAAGGGCTGCTTGTCCCTGGGTCGCCTAATTCATCCCGATGTCTGCTATTCTCAAAACTCTTTGTTGTTTACAAGTACACACCATGAACACTACGATCAGATAGTCCCTTATGATAACTTGTTCCTACCAATCGATCGTCGAAGATATATATAGAAAGATGACCGTAATGACAACACATGAAGGGGCAGTACTATACCCATACGCACGTTTAGTTATACTAAGACTTGATGTATGGTGGTTGTTGGTCTCTAGCTTAGCTAGTCTAATGGGAACCGGGAAATTCCAATTTGCAAGGAAGTAGGGTAGGTAGCTAGGTCAATAATCATAATCATTACCGTATTTGCAAATATTTCTTTGCAGGAAGCAACTTGTTCCATCAATTCCAATAAACGCTCACGCTCATCACCGGCTACCACACACGTGGATCAGAGCAATTGTTCCAGAGTAAAGCACTGCAATCGCGTGCATACATGATACATCAGCAGTCATCAAGAGTCATGGCCTTGTTTAAACCAGCAAGCACAATGGTGACATGTAAGAGCAACTTCAATGGAGCGACCCATTTCGTCTGTCCGCGTCCGTTTGGGTCAGCGCGGACAAAAGTGACGGCCCAACGCGCCGATCCAAACGGACGCGCGTCCGTTTTTCGTCCGCGGGCGACCCATTTCATGCCCAATTTTGAGGCGGATTTACGTCGGCGCGGACACGAGACGGACACGCACACGCCTAC